AGAATAAGAAACCTTGCCTGAAGTTAAAAGTACTTAAGATCAGACCCTAGTTTATTTTTCATGAGTATTATAAGGTATCCTTATTGATCTATGAGAAAAGCCAATAATTTCTGCCTCCTATAGCAAAGAAAGAGGTTGCTTTAAATATAATTTGCTAGTTGTGTCACCTTCAGCATGCTAGTTAACCTCTTTAAGCTTCAATTTCTGCCAGCCACTTCCAAGGTTCTTATATGTAAAAAAACTTGGCACAGAATTCTTGCTTATTATGCATTCTCTTCTCTTTCCCTCCAGTTGCTTTCACAAATCCACTTCGATTCACTGTTTCCCTATTTCCTCCTTTTTCTAATTCACAGGGGATTTGAAGACTGTATCACACATCACATATTAATCTAAATTCCTGGCCTCTTTGTGGAATCTTTCTTGAATTTCCAGAAACTGTGAATTAGTTTGTGGCTAACATAGTACTTCTATGACTGCCACATGCCACTAAAACACAGTATTAACTCCAGTAAATTTTTGTTCAGTGAACTGCACTGTTTAAGAAAAATATAGAGTACAAAAATCAAAATAGTTTAAGAATTGGCAAAACTTAAAACTAATCCAGGCGTTCTTGTCCCATAAATGGTCTGACTGCTTCTGACTCTGGTTCAAGGATTGCTTACAATCCGTGGTAGCTCGTTTCCAAAACAGCTCCCAGTGATCATCATCTTGATATTTAACCCTCACACAATCAGGGCTAGCTCTGTGTCACCAACAAAATACTGTAGAAGTGACAATGTTGATTTTAGAAGCTAGATAAAAAAACAAAACAAATAAAACAAAATAAAGGCATTGCACCTATGGGGTTGGTCTCTTGAATTACTTGCTCTGAGGGGAGCTAGTCACCAATACTGAGAGGACAGATGGCTGTGTGACCTTGGGAAACAAACTTTCTGAGCTTCAGTTTTGAAATGAATATATTTATTTTCCAGGGCATTGTGAATACTAAGACTTGCAAGTAAAGCAAACAGCAGGAAGTCTGGCACATACAAAGCTCTCATAAAATATGGCTAAATAATGGTGATAGTGGTAGGAGAAGCTGTAGCAGCAGCAGCTGAGTGGATGTTGAGATGTGAAGGAAAGGAGTCAAGTGTGAACCCTACACGTTTTTGGGTTGAGAAGTGACAGTGTGTATTATTTACTGAGTTGGGGACCATGGAGGAAAGCAAGGCAATCCTGTTTTTGGACCAAAGATGCTTAAACCCCAACAGGTAATAGTCTAACCATCTTTCAATCACTTATAAACAGCATTCTATTTCCATTCATTCTTCTCTAAGTTACCTCAAACTGTTTGTTTTGCAGTGGTGAGGATATGGAGTTCTCATTTTTGTTTTAGAGAAAAATATTAGCAAACATCAGAGGGAATTTGTGCAATCAACATGAAATATGATAAGCATTGGGAGTTTTGAGAAATAGCAAATACTTCTATTAATTTTACATGCAGATTTACTGATAACTAAAGTGCTAAGGCTGGATGAAATCAGATTTCTGTTCCTCTTTTTCTGATTCCTCTGGTTTAACTACCCATGGAAGGATGCTTGAGACAGTCTGGCTCCCCAACTGTGCACATTTAGCTTTCATTTAGTTAGTAGTTCACAGATTGACTAAATAATCTTATTCATAAAATTGGTTTCACAGCTCATTATATTATAACTTCATTTGATCGGAGGCATATTTGTCAATTCCCAGGATTTTCCAAGTCTATTACCAAAATGCTCCAAACTATGTTGAATCTGAATGGAGGCAGCACAGAGCAGTGAGAAGAGTTAGTTCATTAGTAACAAAACTGGGACCAAAACCAGTGTGGTCTGTGCTTATGGTGGACTTCTCTGGGCCTCAGCTTCTTCAACCTTAAAACATAGGATCGCAACCCATACATGATCATGAAGTTCTAGCGCAGCTCTATGAATAGTTGATTCTAGTATGCTACTGTAAGAAAGCTTTGAGTTTTGTCTCCCTCTATTCTTGATAAAGATGGGTTGCAAATAAGTCACCCACATTATGATTTTACAGATAAGTTTACCGACAAATTTGTCCCAGTATTTTATTGGGCCACTGTAGCGTGGTTCCCTCTATCATGTCATATAAAACTAGCTTATGGGGGATTAAACCTTTGAAGTTCAGCCAATCATGTTAATAAAGCTAAATGGGGTGTAACTAGTTCATGAAACAATAAGGAAGTACAATACATGTATGTATATATTGTCCTCAAACTTCCTCTCAGTACTGAAATAGAGAAATGAGGTTTTTTTTTTTTTGAGGAGATAGTTACATTAGCCATAACTATTGGATTTATTCAATACTCTATTTCATTTCCTTTCCCCTCACTGTAGCTGGTATCATACAAGAATCTATTTACATTGACTAAGGATACTGGAAGAGTGAAGATCAGAAAACTTTAAGGCTGAAATCTGCATCATTACCTTGAACAATATAACCTTAATTGGCATAAACTACTCATACAGGTAAGGGTGATTATTCATTTTTAGCTTAAAAGTTAATTCTATAAAAACTCTAACAGGACTAAACTTTAAATTTTGAAAATTGACCAATAAGAAAGGATATAACTATGTAGATAATTATTAGTAACCGTTAAGATTGTGGAACTTATTCATTTGTCAAATTAACAGTGATTCAATGTGTACACTAGTGACTTGAGACAGATATTCTGCTGAAGGGAATGAGGACTTGGAGAGGTTTTCTAGAAAGCAATTCTGTATCTGTAACATGTCATTTTGAGTTGATTTCTTAATTTTAATGGTATTTCCCAAATTTTAGAAAACAATCATCTAGTTGCTTTAGAAGTAAAATTTACTTCTAAAGGAGAGGTACAGTATATACAAATCTGGGAAGCTAAAGATGGTAAACTAGTTGTCACTGCTCTCAGCTGTCTGATAAAGCTCACCTCTGCAAAGTCTTTTACCTCCCTTTTGTTCAGGAGCATTTGCTGTTGATACTCATACAGAAGCACCATCACCTCTGCAGTTCTTTAGTATATTATGCATTTTCTACACAAGGCAGAGGCTAGTGCTTTTTGTAATTATCATAAAAAGAAAACCCATTCCTCATTTAAAGATCAATCTACTTTGAACAGGTGGGTTTTCCCTAAGAAATAAACTGGTTTACTTTACTGTTTGTTTCTCTGAGTTTTCCATCAGTGAAGTTACAGATTAAAGTTTTATGTATTTATAACTGCACCTGTGCCAACTACATCCAGATTGCAATTCACCAGATACAGACTTACTCTGAAGCACATGGACCACTTTCTAAATAAAAATTGTAAGTAAATAAATAAAAATCATGAGGGCAGTGTTAGATATCAATTAAGGGTCTCAATATTTGAACATGGAGGTACTGCACAGCCCTTAAGTTTTTACGTCTTTGATTGTGGATTGTTTGGTTTAAAAACTAATTTTAAAATTAAAATAATACATTTGGAAAAAATCCTGATGTTTATAAATTTGAAATATGTTTCAAAAATAATCCAGGATATGGAAAATGAGTGAAACCATGATTCTGAAGAGGGATAGAGAGTAAAACAGACTTGAGGGCCTGGAAACAGATCAGAAGTCTGTTTATGGTAAGATTTTTAAGTTTACCAAAACAGAATGTGATTAAAAAATTGAGAAATCCTGCTATTGAGAAATCTCCATTATAAAATAGTGGAAAGTATGGTGCCCAGAGAGTTATGGTGAAGAACACAGAGAGAAGTGGCTCATTGGAATAGAGATCACAGTTCTTACTTGACCAGAATCTAATAACTTTTCTTTGTTATTCTCACTTGAAAAAATAAGGAAATAAGGAAAAAAATAAGAATGAAAGGGAGATTGTATGTGATTCTTCAGCATTTCTGTGTACCCTTTGCAACAAGAATGATCATAAAGATAAAGAAGACATAAAAGGCAAAAATTATACTTGTATTTATACTGTGATTAAAACATCATATCCTCTAAACAAAGAAAGAATCCTCTGAAACTGGGCGTGGTGGTGCAGTTATAATCCCAGCACTCTGGGAGGCTGAGGCAAGAGGATCGCAAATTCAAGCTCAATCAGAGCAATTTAGTGAGACACTGTTTAAGGAAGAAAAAAAGAAAAGGAATTGGAGATGTAGCTCAGTGCAAGGGCCCCAAGCTCCATCCCTAATACTGGGGAGAAAAAGATAATCTGAAAAACCCAGATAGCACTAAGTTACACAGGAGGACACATGAGGGAGCTCTCCCCAACAAGAACAGCGACTAAAGTTTTAAAGTACAATTTTAACCTCCCTCCCACTACTGGGGATTGAACCTAGCATCTTCTCACTGAGCTATATCCCGAGCACCTGGCCCCCCGCCCCCTTTTGTTTTTTTGAGACAGGATCTCACTATGTAGTTCAGGCTGGCCTTGATCTTGCAGTGGATCCTCCTGCCCCAGCCTCCCAAATGCTGGGGTTAGAGGTGTGCGCCGTCATGGCCGGCACCATAATTTTATCTTTTTTTGAAGTGTGACAGTTTAGCAATAACTATTTGAAAAGAACAATTACTGATGCCTTTGGTAATGATCCTGAGATTTCAGTCTATCCTTGGTCTTTATGCTTTCCTTCTGTTCAATTCAGGCCCTGGCCTGAGTTTTTGTTCATGTGGAATTCAGTTTACTTATGAACTATGAAAAGGGACTCTTCTAATAGTTCTGTATTAAGATTAGTTTTAACCTCGCCATGAAAAGACACCATTTTGAAAACTGTTTACAATTAAGCAGTGTGCTAATTAAAAAGTCTTATCCTCCTACTAATGTGGCCACAAAATACATTTGTAACACTTTTCTTTGATCAACATGTACTGTTTATATATGTCTTACATTTAAAAAATTATATTTCTACACAAAATCTATCATCACACATTGCTTTATAAGAACAATAAATTACTCTCACATAAAATGATATATCTCAGAAATTTAACTATTTACTTCAATTTTTCTTTTTTAGACAAAGGCATTATCCATCACAATAAGCACATTTTTACTTTTATTGCAACTGGACAATCGTGATCAGAAAAGGTAAGAAGCCATCTATACTTTCACTTTCCATCCAATACATTTGGCTATTATTTTACCCAATGCCCTTTTTTACTATTTATCTTAAACACCACCTCCAGTGTTAATATTAAATATATGCAATTCTGTTCTAGCTCCTGTGACAAAATTCAAGAAGATCTGATATAAATGAGTAACAACTCAACATGCATTCAACCATCCATGATCACTTCCAGAGCTTTACCAATCACTTACACCATCCTTTGTATTGTTGGTCTCTTTGGAAACTCACTCTCTCAGTGGGTGTTTTTGGCAAAAATAGGTAAGAAAACATCAACGCACATCTACCTGGCACATCTTGTGACTGCAAACTTACTTGTGTGCAGTGCCATGCCTTTCATGGGTATCTATTTTCTGAAAGGTTTCCAATGGGAATATCAATCTGCACAATGCAGAGTGGTCAATTTTCTGGGAACTTTATCCATGCATGTAAGCATGTTTGTCAGCCTCTTTATTTTAAGTTGGATTGCTGTAAGCCGCTATGCTACTTTAATGAAAAAGGATTCCATGCAAGAGACCACTTCATGCTATGAGAAAATATTTTATGGCCACTTACTAAAAAAATTTCGCCAGCCCAACTTCGCTAGAAAACTGTGCATTTACATATGGGGAGTTGTACTGGGCATAATTATTCCCATTATCATATACTACTCAGTTGTAGAGACTACAGAAGGAGAAGAGAGTCAGTGCTACAATCGGCAGATGGAACAGGGAGCCACGACCTCTCAGATTGCGGGTCTCATCGGAACCACATTCATTGGATTTTCATTTTTAGTAGTATTAACATCGTACTACTCTTTTGTCAGCCATCTGAGAAAAATAAGGGCCTGTACATCCGTTATGGAGAAAAACTTAACTTACAATTCTGTGAGAAGACATCTTTTGGTCATCCAGATTTTACTAGTAGTTTGCTTTCTTCCATATAGCATTTTTAAACCTATTTTTTATGCTCTGCATAAAAGACAGGACTGTCTGCAATTGAATTATTTAATAGAAACAAAAAATATCCTCACCTGTCTTGCTTCAGCCAGAAGTAGCACGGACCCCATTATATTTCTTCTCTTAGATAAAACATTCAAGAAGACACTATATAATCTTTTTACAAAATCTACTTCACCACATATACAACCATATGGTTGACTTCTGGATGGAAAAACACCACAAAATAGAAAAATGTTCATGGGACTCTATTAGGGACATTAAAGGATTAACATGTCATAACTTGGTTGACAACAGGCACCAAGAAAACCACTTTGGTTTAAAAATATATATATTCACAAAACTCAATTATAGTTCTTCTCATATTGAAAGTGGAAATGGCAGTGATTTTCAGAGGCAGAAGTCAAGCATACTGAAAGGATCCCAGTGCACATGAAATCAAACACCCATTTTCTTTTTAAACTCTTCTGTGAATCTTCTGTTCAGAACAACTGTAGGATGAAGAGGCAATTGGCTTATGGTGCGTCTGCTTTCTAGTAGAATACAAAGGTCCATCCATACTTAGTAATTGTTTTGTTGGTAACTTTGATAAACTTTAAAAGTGAGTATAAGAAAAAAATGAATAAGAAATGTCCTCATTTAACTCTTATATAAATGTATGAATAATACAGTATAAATATCCAAGGTTTAATAACATATTATTTATTTGGTAATACCTGGCTCATGTTACTGGGAGAGGCAATATTCATTGATTCTGATATTTCTTAAGCAGATATTACTTATAAATATGCTTAAATATTTAGATTAGGCTCTGACAATAAAAAGCTGATATAATATCATTATATGTCCATCTTCATCACATTTTATTTTTTTCCTTTTGTATCCAGTATAATGTTATTAATGACAGTACCTGGCATGCAGAAATGTTCTATTAATTTTTGTGAAATAAATGAATGGAGAAGGCACTGTAATAGTATCATAGTATTACTTAGTAAGCACTTATGAGCCAGGCACTCTGGTTATATGCTTTACAATACATGTACAATAAAACCACAAAGTATGCCAATTTACTTACTGATGAAAAAATTGAAGTGCATAGTTAAGTAAGTCACCCCAATTTTCTCTAATACCTAAGTATTTAAGAGGCAAGGACTTCTTAGTGGTCATTTCTTTCTTCCATGTAATCTTGTTTGTACAACAAATGACGGTTATATTGTGCACTGCATACATTAAAATTAAAAAATTTTTAAAATGTGTTGTTTTCCCAAAAATCATAGGCACTTTTGGAGCTATAATGTACTTTCTAATTCTATCTATATGGTGCTTGCATTCTCTTAGATAAGAACCAAACAAAAACAGTTGAATAAAAACATTAACTGTAACTTGCTATTTCATTAGAAACTGTGTAAAGACTCATTTTTTCTCCATATGCTAATTCTTTTAGTACTCAAAAGGAAGTTTAAAGTAAGTTCACATGAGTCTTTAATATCATAGTGTGTTTTGTTCTTGAATTAGAAAAACATGTGGAAGCAATTCACTGTACAGACTCCCTAGAGCTATGTATTCAAAATCACTAGAGGTTGCTCTGACATATTTGTATAATTTTCATTAAAAACCTGTAGAACAAAACCAGTAAATATTTGTCCTTTTTTTCAATGATTAACTGAGAGATGAAAATGTTCAGAGAAAAGTCTGAACACATTCTGGCTTCAAGTACTTACAGTGTAGATCTATTCTTTCTTTTATACTAACAATCGGATTTCTGGCTCAGTAATTTGTAGAGAAAGGAGACCTGGGAATGCCAGGGAACCTCGCTGTGTACTGTCTGTAAATGGAGGCGTCCAATTTAGTGACTTTCTAGACCTGCAATCACAGAACAACTCAAAGTCCCTCAGGAAAATTCCTGAGATGCCTAGATTCCTTTAGTTACAACTATAGTTTTATTCTTTCATGAGTTTTAAAACCCAAACTCATCAGACTAAGAAGAACTGAGCTTATCAGTAATTTTCATTTAACATAAATAATACTATATTAAATCTCACTGCACTTAGGGTTTAAAAAATATATATAACCTCTAAAAATCAATATTAAAAAAAATCACTTTATAGCTCCGCCCACTACTTTATATAAAAAGCAAAAGATGTTACCAAAGTAGTTTCTGACATTTAAAAAAGGCAGGAAGAGAGATAATATGCAATTTCAGGTTCCTCATTGTAATAGAAAACTCCCACATAAACTTCCTGTATTGAACTATATGCTGAAGTCATCAGCATCACATCTATCTTTATGCCATAGATGCTTTTCGAAACAGTTGACTGTAAATCAGGATAAACCACTCAACCTGGAAATGAGTCTGTCCTCCCTGGGTAGGAGAGGAAAATGGCCCATCTGGTTTTGATTTGGTGAGGACTCTTGGTCTATCTTTGGTCTTGTAGTCTGCCAGGGTGGGAGTTATTATGAGCAAATGTGTGAAGACAAGTGAAAGGAAAGCTTGCTTGGCAAACCACATGAGGAACACAAAGAGATGCTGGTAATTGCTAAGCATTTCAGTCATGCAGCAATCTTTCTCTGATGGCCCCCAAATTCCAATGGAATTGGTATCACTGGGAAGAATAGCTATAACAAGAAAGGTTTTACACCTGACAGAAAAACATCTTTGGTTAAACGATATATACCATCCCAGCTCAAAATGTGAGGAGCAACGCGGGGAGCACTTCTATTAAGCAAAAAATTCACCCATCTTTTTCTTTTTGAGACAGGGTCTTGCCGTTTAGTTCAGGCTGGCCTTGAACTCACTATGTAGCTCAGGCTGGCCTTGAACTTGCAGTGATCCTTCTGCCTCGGCCTCCCAAGTGCTGGGACTGGCCACCCTTAAAAAAAATCAGGGGGGTCCTTTTTTAATGAGTGTATTGGGAGAACAGAAGTATAGAAGTTAGAAATGCAAATTAAGTTGATGATGATCTTATAATCCATGAGATTTTTCTAAGTACAATTATTAAAACACTACAAACTAAACATGCACATTATGTTCAACAACCTTACAAAAGGAATGCCAGAAGATTAATCAGTTTGCTTCTTATACTAAAGAATAAAATAAGTTTGTGAGAATTTAATTTTTTTTGTATGAAGTGAGAGACTTTTGAGAGTTGTGGTAACACAAGTAAAAGAAACATCAGTGACTGAAAGCAAGAGGAAGGAATACTTTAAGAAATCCACAATGCTACAGCAACCAGTGTTACATGAACATATGTTTATAATAAAGCCAGGCCCTCGGCATGTGAAAGGAGAACTGAGACCAGAAGGGGACCAGAGAGCAGCCAGGCATGTTGACACAGGTTGGGAGAAAAACCATTTAAAGGAAGCACAGTCAGAAACACTTGGGCTGGAGGCTTCTAGCTGAGTGTATGTGCAACTGGGGTTTGCACAGTTCTGAGAACTCAAAACTGAGCACCCAAACCTCCTGGGCTCAAGCCTCATTCAGAATAGAAAGTGACTGCGTGTGTAGCAAGCAGTCTGCACTCCCAGAGGAGCTGCTTCATTTCAACTTCAGTCATTAAAATTGTGCCTAAGTGGGTCAGAGTGACAGAGAGGCCCAAGGAACACTGAGTCTCTGCACATCCAGATGATGCCTTGTGAAGCTGTCCACAGGAGTCAGGAGAGCCCAGAGGATTCCACCAGCTCTCTGGCTTGGCAGAACCAGCAAAGTAGGCCAGGAGCCAGAAGTTGCATTTACTCTGACAACTGTGCTATTTCTCTCCTGAGTACTTTTAACAGAGGGGTGAGGGGAAGAGAGATCACTGAGACATAATGAAAGTTTTCATCTCCTTTCACGAGAAAAAGAAAAATTAAAAGGAAGACCATGATGGAGAGAGAGATAGAAATTTGCATGCATACCTTAATTAATACCTATAGGGAGGTAAAGCACAAGAAATATAACATTATATAATAACAATAAGTCTTAATTGGAAGCCATTTTTGTGCCCCTGGGGATATTTGGCAATGTCTGGAGAAATTTTTGGTTGTCACAACTGGGGTAAGATGCTATTGGCCTCTAGTGGGAAGAGGCTGAGATGCTGCTAACCACACTAAAATACCCAGGACAGCCTCCCACACAAAGTATCTGGCCCCAGATGTTACTAGTGTGGCTGCTGTGAGAGCATGTTTTATGATAATACATAGTCTTGAATTTCTAAGAATTACACAGTTGTTTTTATGCAATTTCATGTGAAACTACTTCTCTAAGGCAAACAGTTACCACTATCGTTCACATGATACTGTATACTCAAATGTAATAAAACAATCCTTTTTAGACTCATTTGTGATGATTTAAAAAAGAAATATCCATCAAGTTAGGAAAATAGTACCATTAATCAATATAATTGCAGGACCTTTGGGAAATGTAATGCTTTTGGAACATATGGTAAGGAGATAGAGATAGAGAGAGAGAGAGGAAGAACAAGAAAGAATATGGAAATATTCTTAGTGAGATAAAACAGATAATTAAATAATCTATACATTTCTAAGAGAAGTTAAGTACAGCAATACCATGCTCTTCTATCTTCCTTCCTTTCTGTGCCAAGTACTGTACCCGGAGCCTTCAACACTGAACTACATCCCTACCCTCTTTATTTTTATTTTTTTACTTTGAAACAGACCCAGAGGCTTCACAGTGAGCTACATCCCTACCTCTTTAATTTTTTTTTCTTTGAAACAGGGTTTTGCTAAGTTGCTAAGTTGCCCAGGCTGGACTCAAACTTGTGATCCTCCTGCCTCAGCCTCCCAGAGTGCTAGGATTACAGGCAGGTACCACCATGCCTGGCTTTTATTTTATTTAGCAAATGTAAGAGAAGCAAACTCAGACAAAAACTGAACAGCAGAAACCAGAATCTACAGACAAGTCACTGAATAATTTATCTGAATGCAAAGAATTAGCTGGTAGGCAGCTTTACTGGCAAAAAATGTTAACCAAAGAAACCAAGTGAAGTGCTACATCATTAACCATGTGAAATAAGATCACGATGAAAGCTTTACTATAACCTCTGCATGGGAGCACCCCTCTAACAAGATGCTGCATCAAACAACGTTTACCTACATCTCTGAAGTTATATTAGGAAATCATGTTGACACAACCTTCAAGATGCATCTGGAATCTAACTGCTTTTTTACTGCCTCCACGGTTACCCTTCTGGTCTGAGCCAAGCAGGATCATGGGCTGTCTCTATTTCCTTCTGCCTTTGCTCGTTTTGCTTCGGCCACACCAGCTCCCTTGTGTGCCTGTCCTAGCACCACTGCATGAGCTGTTCCTTTCTTTTGCCTAGATCACTCTTCCTTAGTTATTAGCTCAGTCCATTCTGTCCCCTCCTTCAACTCCTTGCTCAGATGTCATCTTCTCAACACCACCTGCTCTGACCACCCTATTTAAAACTGCGGTCTCTTTCTAGAGTTCCTTCGCCTTTTGACTATCCTTATTTCCTCTATAGCCTTCACTCTGAGCTGCATCCTTAGCCTTTTAAAACATTTTTTTTTAAATTTTGAGACAGGGTCTTGATAAGTTGCTAAGTTGCCCAGACTGGGTTCAAATTTGCAATTCTTCCTCAGCCTCCCAGAGTGCTGGGATTACAGGTGCATGCCACCATGCCTGGCTTCCCTGAGGTCCTTTTTACTGTTCCACTTGTAGTTTATAGTTTACTTACTTTTGCTTATTATTACTTGTCACCCTG